TCCTCTCGTCCTCCTGTACCCAACAGGAGATATATGAAACTATCTGTTGCTGATAGATGGTGGGGAGCCTGAAAGCTTTGATGAAGCTTGTCAGGGTGGAGATGCGAGCAAGTGGGAGCTTGCCATGAAAGATGAGATGAAGTCTCTCATCTCAAACCAGACATGGGAACTAGCTGAGTTGCCCACAGGTAAGAAGGCACTCCACAACAAATGGGTGTATCGGGTGAAAGAGGAGCATGATGGTTCCAGAAGATATAAAGCCCGACTAGTTGTCAAAGGATTCCAGCAGAAGGAAGGAATTGACTACACCGATATTTTCGCTCCCGTGGTGAAGCTAAATACTATCAGGACAGTGATGGGTATTGTAGCAATTAAAGATCTTCATCTCGAGCAGTTGGACGTGAAGACGACGTTTCTTTATGGAGATCTAGAAGAGGAGATATACATGCACAAGCCAGAAGGTTTCTCAGAAGAAAAGAAGAAGAACCTAGTGTGCAGACTCAAGAAGAGCTTGTATGGCCTGAAACAAGCTCCAAGGCAGTGGTACAAGAAGTTCGACGGCTTCATGCATAAGGAAGGTTTCCAGAAGTGCAACGCCGACCACTGTTACTACTTCAAAAGATATCAGTCCAATTATATTATTCTACTGCTGTACGTTGATGATATATTGGTTGCAAGTGCAGATATGGAGGATATCAGGAGTTTGAAGTAGCAGCTGTCAAAGGAGTTTGACATGAAGGACTTGGGTCCAGCGAAGAAGATCCTTGGAATGCAAATCACGAGAGATAAGAAGAGAGGTCTCTTGCAGTTATCTCAGGCGGAGTACATCAACCGTGTTTTGCAGAGATTCAACATGGGCGACGCCAAGCCAGTGAGCACACCCTTGGGCAGCCATTTTCGCCTATCGAATGATCAGTCTCCTCAGTCAGAAGAAGAGAAAGAGAGTATGGTTCAGGTTCTTTACGCCTCAGCTATCGGAAGTTTGATGTACGCAATGGTCTGTACGAGATCAGACATTGGCCATGCAGTGGGAGTGGTCAGCCAGTTTATGTCGAATCCAGGAAAAGCTCATTGGGAAGCGGTCAAGTAGATTCTGAGGTATCTATGAGGCACGACACAGAAGTGTTTGCACTTTGGTAAGGGAGAGGTAGAAGTGCAAGGGTACGTAGATGCAGACTTTGGCAGAAGTGTTTGCACTTTGGTAAGGGAGAGGTAGAAGTGCAAGGGTACGTAGATGCAGACTTTGGCGGTGAAGTTGATCACCGAAGAAGCACCACCGACTATGTATTCACTGTCGGAACTACGGCTGTTAGTTGGATGTCACAGATACAGAAGATTGTCACTCTGTCCACTACAGAAGCTGAGTATGTTGCAGTGACTGAAGCCAGTAAAGAGATGATATGGCTTCAGAGTTTGTTAACAGAGCTGGGATTCAAACAGGAGAAGAATGTTCTGCACAGCGATAGTCAGAGTGCGATTCACTTGGCTAAGAATTCCGCATTTCATTCTAGAACGAAGCATATTGCGCTTCGGTACCACTTCATCAGATCCCTGTTGAAAGATGACGTGTTGAAACTAGAGAAGATTCCAGGAAGTAAGAATCCAGCAGATATGTTAACAAAGACGGTGACCGTTCAGAGACTGGAGTTGTGCGCAACTTCAGTTGGCCTTCATACATAAGTGATGAGGGCGGAGCCACACAGAAGGAGCTTGTTGAGATAGCCTGCTGACGGCGGTTTGATCTACAAGTGGGAGATTGTTGAGATCGAGTGTGGAGATCTAACCTTGCAGGCGAGATTTTTCAGGCGAGGTTGTCGGCGACCAGATGCAGGCGAAGCTCTCGAGCAGGCGAGCTCGAGTTGGCGATCTCCAGGCGACTTCAAACAGACGAGTTGAGGAGATCAGGCGAGAACAAGCGGGCGAGTTCAGGCGAAGGTGCACGGCGCGAATCTCGAGGCAGGCGGAAACTGGTCCACAGGCGAATCAACGGCTCTCGCGCAGGCGGAGATTTGGCACCGCCACTCAGCTGGGCGACAGCCTGTCGCCGAACGCCCTGTCACGTCGGTTCCCTCTATAAAGGGGAACCGAAACCCTAGCCCCAGTTTTGTTCCTCTCTCGCAACCTCAGAAAACCCCCAGTGGCGGCGGCTTCTCCCCCTCTCTTCTCTCGTGTTTTTTCTTCCCTGGCGACGGCCTCTCTCTCTGTTCGTGATCTCTCTTTTCTCCAGCGCTCAACAGAGAAGTTGAGGGGAGTTTAAGAAGAGGATTTGAGAAGAAAGGAAATTAAAGAGGGGAGAAAGATATTGAAGGGGGAATATTCTCTATTTAAGAGATAATTAAATAGGGGTATTTAAGAAGCGGGGGAATCTTACTGTAGCTACAGTAACACTTGAATTTATTAAGGAATCTCAAGTTTGAGATTCGCTCTGAATTGTAATTTTTTGTTAAGATTAATAAGAAATTTACTGTGTGGCTCCCGAGGACGTAGGCAGTTGCCGAACCTCGTTAAAACTTGGTGTACTTTTTCTATTCTGCGTTTCTGTTGCATTAGGGACTTCGGCGTTAAATTCCCAACAATTTACTGGTAACATAGCCCCTTTCTTAAAATTTGGGTTTTGTAAGACACCTCGAAGATTAAGGGAGGTTATGTGAGAAAAATAAAGTTCAGGGGGTTATGTGCAAGACACCCCAAAGTTCAAGCGGGTTTGTAAAATTAACCCTTTCTTATTTCTACTCTTCCAAATCTTAACACATGGTTTCGTTAATCATCTTTGTCTAAATTTTGCTGTTAAAATCGCATTTCAAAGGCACCATGGCAAATTGGAGGGTGACGTGGCATTAAAAAAAATCTCACTTGGCTGCACCGTAGCTAAAGTCTATGTGGACGATGCTTTTCCTACCTACACTTTTGGTGATCTATATGGTTACTAGGAATCATGCTATGAGGAAAAGATTGTTTGACAAATGTCAGATCTGGGGTTGAGACCTTGTGTCAAAAATAAATTATTCACTCCCGTATACGTACCATGTATCTGATGGACAGAGCACGGCCTAAGACCATATGCAGCCGGGGATTTTTTGTGGGGTATTTGAAGGCAGCTGGGGATTTTTTGTGGGGTGAAATAAATGAGATCGGAGAGAGGGTGAAAATTTCACCCCCGGATGAATCTGACAAGCCCACACGCGCGCCTTGATGCAAGCGGACACATGGCGAATTTCTATTGGGCAAGCTTTATTTTTTTCCTCCTTATTTTTATTTGATATTTTTTGAGATAAATACAATGAATTAATTTATAATTTTTATACCATTAATTTTTATTTTTCAAACTCTATAAATAGAGACTAACTTTGTGTCATTTGGACACAAAAAAAAAAATTCTGAGTTTCTACACCCTATTCTTCTTCTTTCTACAATTTGAAGCTAGTTTCTTCATGGATCCTTCACAAAACTATCCTAATTTTTCCTACAACTACAACTTTCCTAACCAACCTCAAAATACTCTCCCTCAACCACAACATCCAAATATACAACGCCCCGAAAATACTCAAAATACGGGGATGCAGCCCAATTTTCAAATGCCGTACATGATGCAACCAAATTTCGGCATGCAATATCCTTATCTCCCTTACGGTTATCCTCCAGTTCCGGGAAGCAGCTATGTTCCCTCCCATATGAATTGTCCTAACACGGAGTCGAGTGAGCCAGCGACACCCCGGTTTAGTAGCGGATCTACAGATATCCCAGAATTTTCCACCCAAATGTCTTTGGGAAATGTTGGTGCGGATACTCCTCACAGTTTTCTCCCTCCAACCCAACAATCAGCAAAGAGATCAAGTTATGAAACTTGGACCACCGAAGACAACATACTTTTACTAACTGGTTATTTTCACGTTAGTAATGATAGTGAGTTGGGGAACAACCAAAAGGGTGAAACTTTCTGGGGTAAAATTACACAGTACGTGAATGAGAACGCCAAAAGTGGAAAGGAGAGGATTGTGTCTCGGTGCCATAGTCATTTCAAAGACATCAACAGAAAGATATCCAGTTTCATTGGCTGCTACAGTACTGCATGTAGGGAGAAGCGTAGCGGTTGGTCCGATGAAAACTACATATCCAAGGCAAGAGAGTTGTACTTTGAGAAAATAGGTACGACGTTTAATTTGGTGGATGAGTGGAAGGTGGTTCGTAATCAACCCAAATATATGACAGGAGGAAATGCATCCGGTAGTAGTGGCTCTAAAAGAAAGAGTAGTGGTGAGGATGTTGAATCATCAACTCCTACCCTTGTACGTCCAGAGGGTAGAGACGTGGCAAAGAAGAAAGCTAGAGGTTCCTCTAGTAAAACATCTGTGTCAAGGAAATCAAAAGGGGCAATTGAGGAGGAGTTATCTAAGCTAGTCAGTGCTCATGAAAAATTTGAAGAGAAAAGATCAAGTACTGCTTCAGCTATGAATAACCTGGCTCATTCCAAGAATATGGAGATGTGGTTATTCTTGAAAAACAAACCAGATCGTGACGATGAAGATGAAGAAGCTTATAATATGTTGAGGAAGAACCTGTTTGGAAAATAAGACCTTCTCAAGAAGTTATGATTGTGTGTTTTCTTTCTGATGTTTTTGTGTGCCGTTTGTTTAATTTTGGAGTTGTGTGGGTGCCTATGTTTGTTGAATGTATTAATAAAAGTGTTGTTTATGTTTGAATAAAATTGTTGTTTATGGTTCAATAAAGCCGATTGATATTGACTTCTCACTGCATAATAGTACAAAAGATACAATTACTACTCACTGCAGGAACAAACAAATGTTGAATTGACCTTTCACTGCAAAAAATACAAAGGATGAAATGACTACACCTGCATAATAATACAAAATATGAATTGACCTCTCACTGCAAAAACAAACAAATGTTGAATTGACCTTTCATTGCAAAAAATACAAAGGCGCAATAATGCGGGCAAGCTTGGGTTAACGCCTATCCAGAAGTGTACGGCTGCCATACGCATGCTCGCATATGGAGTCGCAGCCGATGCTTGTGATGAGTACGTCAAGATAGGAGAATCCACTGCTATCGAGTGTACTCGCAAGTTTTGCGAAGGGGTAATAGCATTGTTTCAAGATGAATACTTACGACGACCAAATGTGGAAGACTTGCAGAGGTTGCTCCAAGTTGGACAGGAACGTGGATTCCCAGGGATGATTGGAAGTATTGATTGCATGCACTGGCAGTGGAAAAATTGTCCTAAGGCTTGGCAAGGGCAGTTTACTAGTGGACACAAGGGGACGGCAACAGTTATCCTCGAGGCAGTTGCGTCATATGATTTGTGGATATGGCATGCTTTTTCAGGGCTTCCTGGTAGTTTGAATGACATAAATGTACTAGATAGGTCACCGGTTTTTGACGACATTGAGTCGGGTGAAGCTCCACGGGTAAACTTCACCGTGAATGGGCGGGAGTACAATCTTGCATACTATCTTGCCGACGGAATCTACCCTAAGTGGCCTGTCTTCGTGCAGTCAATTCAAATGCCCCAAGGCAACAAACATCAATTTTTTGCCAAACAACAGGAATCATGCAGGAAGGACGTGGAACGCGCATTCGGGGTACTCCAAGCACGCTTCGCTATTGTCCGCCAACCAGCTAGAATGTGGGATCTTGATGTCTTAGGAAAAATAATGAGGGCGTGCATTATTTTACATAACATGATAGTAGAGGATGAACGAGATACGTATTCGCGAAACTGGGAAAATATCGACTTTGAACCGTCGAACAATGCTAGCTCTAGCGCCTCTTTTAATGTTCAAACAGACGTGTTGCCGGAGTTTCAAGTCCATGTTCAACACCGATCTGAGGCAGATAATCAGACTAGAGCGGAACTACGAGATAAGACCCAACATATTCAGCTGAAGAAGGATCTCATCGAGCACATTTGGCAGAAGTTTGGGACAACCTCCGATTAGATTTAGCAATTTAGTGTGTGTTTTCTTGCATGTTTTCAATAATTTGGGTGTGTTTGGTTTTCCGTATGCTTAATAAAATCGTGTGTTATTTTATGTTAACATAAAAATATTATTGAAAATTAAATTAATAATATATATTTAAATATTATATATTATTTATTGAATTATTAATAAATTATAATTATAAATATATGAGTTATATTAATAATAATAATAATAAAATAGTAATATATATGAAATAGGAAAAAGAATGAATAAATATGGTGGGGTATATGTTGAAGTAAAGTGGTTTATGGTGGGTCCCAAATAAAGTAAAAAACTTTCTGAAAAATCTCTTGCTGTAGAGTTGATAGGGAAATGAAGATTATTGAATTAAATAAAGTGATGTGGCAGGAGAGAAGGAGGTGAAATTTCACCTCCTGCTGGAGATGGTCTAAGGGTAATTGCTTTTGTCATCCCACGTGTCACTATCTTAGTACTTAATTATTCTTCAACTATTTAGGGGCTGTTCCTTTGAAAAAAAAACTGGGAAATCAAGAAATAGGAAACTTATTTCCTATTATAATTATTTTAAAGTTGTTTGGTTGGCTTAAAAAAGAAGGAAATTATAGAATAGGAGATGAGATGAGATGAGATGAGTTGTCACCTTATTATTGGATGATGTGAGTGATTTTTTAAAAAACTTATTTTGAGGTTGTTTGGTTGGTTAAAAAAATAAGGAAATGAATTGGAGGTATATTATTGAATGATGTTTTGAGGTTGTTTGTGTTTGGTTCGTTTTAAAAATAAGAAAATAGATGAGATGAGATGAGTTGGAGGTATATTATTGGATGATGTGACACGTATTTAAGAAAATTGATTTCTTGTTTTTTTTTTGAGGAAATGGATGGAAAGGAATGTTTAATGAGATGAGATGAGTTGTCATAATATTATTGGATGATGTGTGTGATTTTTAAAAATAAGATAAAATAAGATGTGATGAGTTGGATGATGTGACACATTTCTTGTGTTTGGTTTATTTTTAAAGGTAAGAAAGGAGATGAAATGAGATGAGTTGGGGGATAAAAATAATATTTTATTGAATGTTGTGGGTGAGTTTTAGAGATGAAAATGGATAAAAATATTATTTTATTGATTTCCTTGTACCGGTTTCCTTTTCTTGGTTTTTAGGAAACCAACCAAACAGCCCCTTAAGGGATATAGGTTGCTGCCTGGGCCCCGGCTAGTTGGCTGATTTTGCAGCAATTTTCTTTCGTTGCAGACTCTGGGGGCAGCATAACGACCGAAACAGTGATTCATAAGCCCTTTTTGGGAGAAAGAGTTGCTGGTGAATTCTGGTCTCTCGATCGTAGGGTAATATATATAGGTTTTCATTTGAGTATGAATCTTCTTTAGCGAGAACATATTTTATTTTTGCCAGTCTTCTTAATTAGAAACAACAAACTCTAGCTAGCTTCTTCCCACAGATATCTTATATGCTTCAAATATGTCATGTTCCCGCCGCTGGATGTATCCGCAAACTTGCTCTGTTGTTATTTTTGATCCAATGGAAATCCTAATATATGGAGTTAATTATTTCCATACAAATCCAAAACATTAACAAACCAAGCATATTATGAAATATGTTCGGTGAAATTAACCCGTGGATGTCAACGGAAACGGTCGTGATCAGTCTGTGTATTCGAGCGTGACCATCGACACGCCCCCTTGGCAGCTCTGAATCTTGAGGCTAAGATCTGTTGATCAAATTGACACCACCATTTACTGCAATGGCACATGATCCATGCACTCAGAGCAAACATTCACGTATTGTACGCACCCCTGAACATGACTTTCATTGCCGTGGATTTTCTCCTCACAGGAAGTGAATCCGCACTCAACACTCTTATTATATTTGAATAAGTCTTTGTGAATTCTCTTCCTTTTTGTGATTGGAAAGAGAATGATTGTGCAAAATCTAACTTCGGTCCTGCATGGAAGGAATATTCGTAAGCAATAAAAAAAAAGCAGATTGACAAAGAGTCAGGTTGAGGTGGGGAATTTCTGAGGATTTCTTCTTCTTCTTCTTCTTCTTCTTCTTTTTTCGGAGTTTGTGTTTTGAAATAGTTTAAAGCTGGTCTTTTGAGGGGATCTGATGGACTAGGGTTTAGCACTCTATAAATACTCTCTTTTGTCCACTCAAGATAATTCTAATCTTAAACGGAGTTATACAAATGAAAGAGCTAGAGGAAGATAGCGGCTTTGTAGCAAGAGAGATTTGAAAGAGATCTCCTAGGTTTGCTGGAGGGTTTGAGATTTGTATTACTTGACGGAGAAGTTTTAGTGGATCTCTGCAAGCTCCACGTTGTTGAAGGTGCAGCTCTAAATTGGGATGAACCTCGTTAAGTTCCCATGTCTCTTGTTTGATCTTTATGTTTTATATTTTTTAGCCATCTTTAATCTTTCCTTTATCTATGTTGCGGTCTGCGTGGTTTGGCTGATAACACGAAGTTATGATCCTAACTAATTGGTATCAAAGCACTAGGTTGAAACCGATGGAGAACTACATGTACCAGAAGGATCTTTATTTGCCTCTCTCAGGTAAGAAGCCACATGAGATGAAGAAGACGGAGTGAGATCTTATGGATTTGGAGGCTTTGGGGGAAATTAGGTTGCCGAGTACAAAGCAAGTGCTGATAAACATAAAAAACCAGAAAACCTTAGTGTAAGTGATGGTGACTCGCTGAGAATGTTAGGATATGTGAAGCCTAACTATCAGACCTGCCCTATACTTCAGAATGAAGAGGAACAAAGTGGAACATGTGGAACAGGATCGACGACGACGAAGTTCAAGCAAAACGACGAAGGGCGCATTTTGACTGAGTCGCGGTAGATCGCGCATGGCGTGACGGTCGACCACCGACGTGCACAGACAAGCACATTGCTGAGGAGCAGCTTCGCGGTCGACTGCGCATAGCGTGACGGTCGACTGCCAAAAGTCCAGAGAGCAGCCAGAATTTTTGCCTTCGTCGCGGTCGACCGCGCCGCCACCGACGGTTGACCGCCAAAAGTCAAGCTTCGTCGCGGTCGACCGCGGGTGACGCGGTGGTCGACCGCCAAAACTCCAGAGACTCTGATTAGGAGAAGGATTCGTCACGGTCGACCGCGCGTGGCGCGGTGGTCGACCGTGAGTCGGGTTTTGGCCCAGTTACAGTTTTTGACATGTTTCCTTTTCTATTTGTAAAACCCTTAAGTCTATAAAAGGGTTGATTAAGGCATGAAATAAAAGAGACGAAAATAGTAAAATTTTCTCCTGCGACGGCCATGGACGTAGTTTCTCACATTGAGAAACGAACCACGTAAATCTTGTGTGTTTGTGATTGATTGAATTCTCTCTTCTCTCCTAAATCTCTATTTCCAAATCGCATCAGGGGGGTTGTGCATCCCCAACAACTGGTATCAGAGCGATCAGGTTCGGCGCGAGTGATTTGAGGTCAGAAACATGGGATCTGAGAAGGAAACATCCAAGATTGAGAAGTTTGATAGAACAAACTTCAGGTTCTGGAAGATGCAGATGGAAGACTACCTCTATCAGAAGGATTTATACCTACCATTGGGAGAGAAGCCGACAGATATGAAGGATGCAGATTGGAAGTTATTGGATCGAAAGGCCCTTGGAGCGATTAGGTTGACATTGTCTAAATCAGTAGCGTTCAACATCAAGAATCAGAATACGACGGCGGATCTCATGGCGGTGTTGTCCAGTATGTATGGGCAGCCCTCCGCGGCGAATAAGGTACATCTAATTAAAAAGCTGTTTAATTTGAGGATGTCCGAGAGCCAGAAATTCAAGGAACACCTGAACGAGTTTAATGAGATCACGGATCAACTAAACTCGGTCAATATTCAGTTTGACGATGAAATCCAAGCCCTCTTGATACTTGGTCAATTACCCGACAGTTGGAAGGGTACCATTATCTCGATTAGCGGATCATGTGACAAATCAAAACTGAAGTTTTCAGAGGTGGTGGACATGATTATGACTGAGGAGATTAGAAGACAAGAGGAAGAGATTTCTAATTCAGGGTCGGCGTTGAATCTTGAGAGCAGAGGAAGAAACAAAAACAGAAATAGAGGGAATAGCCGAGGAAGACCTAACTCGAGAAACGGGAGGTCAAAGTCCAGAAATCGCAAGAGCAAGAAGGAGATCGATTGCTGGATTTGTGGCAAGTTTGGTCACTATGAGAATCAGTGCCGAGAACCCAAGAAGGATAAGGAGAACAAGACTGAAGCGAACGTGGCCTTAAGAGAATCAGATGATGCCCTAATCTGTTCGTTGGAGAGCAAGACTGAATCGTGGGTGCTGTATTCAGGAGCTTCATTTCATGCTACCTCAAATAGAGATTTATTTGAGAACTACGTTTCAGGAAACCTAGGAAAAGTCTATCTTGGTGACGATCAGCCCTGTGATATTGTTGGCAAAGGAGTCGTGCAGATCAAGCTCAATGGGTCTATATGGAAGCTGAGTGATGTGAGACATGTTCCTAGCTTGAGGAAAAATATGATTTCCATAGGACAATTGGCGAAAGAGGGATATGTATCAACCTTCGCATGTGATACGTGGAAGGTTACAAAGGGGTCCATGGTTGTTGCTCGTGGTATGAAGACAGGGCCCCTCTACATAACGATAGATGCACGTGGTTCCATTGCAGTAGCTTAAAGTAAGGAAGACCCAAATTTGTGGCACCAGAGGCTAGGTCACATGAGTAGCAAAGGCCTAAAGGTTATGCAGTCGAATGGGAAGTTACCAGGTCTGAGATCGACCGATATTGACTTATGTGAAAATTGCATTCTTGGGAAACAAAAGAGAATAAGCTTCAAAAAGGTTGGCAGAACTCCTAAAGAAGAGAAGCTAGAGTTAGTTCACACAGATGTGTGGGGTCCAGCATTAGTACTATCCACCGACGGAAGGTTATATTTTGTAACCTTCATAGATGATCACTCGAGGAAGACTTGGGTCT